TGTTTTGGTACCAGTACCATGCTGTTTTTGTCACTATTGCTCTGTAATATAGTTTGAAATCTGGTATCGCTATACCGCCTGATTCACACTTCCTGCTTAAAATTGCTTTTGCTATTCTGGGTCTTTTATTTTTCCATATGAATTTCATGATTGCTTTATCTATTTCTACAAGAAATGATGGAAGGCTTTTTTTTCATCATCAAATTTGAAATTTAATTTTGCTGTATATAAGATTCTTGTTTGGCATCCATTATCTTTTAGAGTTTGGTATATGTTGTTCCAGGATCTCTTGGCTTTGAGAGTCTGGGTTGAAAAATCTGCTGAGATCGTAATTTATATTCCCTTATAGGTAATCTGATGTTTTCTCTCTTGAGGCCTTTAAAAATCTATCCTTATTCTCTATGCTAGACATTTTCATTATAATGTGTCCTTGGTGTAGATCTGTTGTAATTTTGTAAACTTGGTGTCCTATTATGCCTCTTGTATTTTATTTTTCTAATTCATTTTTCATGCTTGGGAAATTTTCTGATATTATTTAATTGAAGAGTTTGTGCATTCCTTTGGTTTGAATCTCTGAACCTTCCTCTATCCCAATAAGTCTTAAATTTGGTCTTTTGATGGTATCTCATAATTCTTTTTTTTTTAAGTTGTATTTGGACACAATACATTTATTTTACTTATTTATTTTTATGTGGTGCTGAGGATTGAACCCAGGGCCTTGCATGTGGTAGGCGAGTGCTCTTCTGCTGAGCCACAACCTCAGACCCTCCCATAATTCTTGGATGTTCTGTTCATGGTTTCTTACCATCTTCACTGTGAGCTCAACTTTATTTTCAAGATTTTCTATTGTCTTCATTGTCTGTGGTTCTGTCATGCAAGTGGTGTAGTCTGTTGGTGAGGCTGCCTATTGAGTTTTTTTAAGGGAAGAATTTTTTTTCTTTCATTTTGAGGATTTCTGGGTTTTGTTGTTATTGTTTTTATAGTATCTCTCTCTCTTGAAGGAATCTCTTGCAACCTGTATTTGCTCTCTTATCTCTTTGTTGGAGTAATCAATTTTTGCCTCAATCTGCTCACTTAGGTCATTATTTAATTCCCAAATCATTTTAGTTATGTGTATTCTGAACTCCTTCTCTGACATTTCACCTACTGCACTATCTATGGATTCTATTGTTGTTGTATCTTGGTTTGCTTGGGGCACTTTTCTCCCTTGTTTTTTCATGATGTCTGTGTTTCCCTCTCTTGCAGTGTAGATATGAGGTATTACAGCTTCTGCTCTATTGTCTTATAGTGTCCCCACAGGTTACCAGTACCTCACTTTTAAGGGAGAGATCAATATTATATCACTAATGTGCCCAACGTGCAGGCATATATCAGTTCTATTTTTACATTTACAGTTTTGTCACTATAATCAGAAATGATGAGTTGGTTATCTTCAACCATATAGTCAATAGGTTTATGTAATGATTTACAATTTCTGATGGTGGAAGGGGGACCTGGAGGGTTGTCTGAGATGTTCATGAGGTAGGATGTGAGAATATGGAGGTATTAGATTATATGACTAGTGAGAGGGTAATCATAAGAAGTTGGCTGTTAGTAGGAGAAACAAGAGATAGGCAACCCATGCAAGACTCCCTGTTACCTCAGCAACAGGATAATTGTTAGCACCTCTAGTAGAGAAACCTCTGGTGCAGCCAGGCCACAAGGACTTTGGTGACGTCTTACCACGTCCTTATTGTTGTCCCTTGATAGAAGCGGTGCTATCCCAGTTTTGTGGCGGTGACAGTCCCAAGCCTATAAGTATCCTGATGTTGGGCTGTGGAGCCATGCTTTGGTGAATAAGGAACCCCAGCCTGGGGTGACTCCCCAGGTGGATGCAGGCGAACTCTACCCCTGGAACAACAATTAAATTTTTTAATTAAGGTATTTTTTCATAATTGTGCAATCCCACAAACAGTATGTGAGGCTTCCAATTTCTTCACCTTTACTAATACATGTTAGTGTTCTTCTTTTTTTATTACAACCATACTAATAGGTATAAATTGAAAATATGGATTTGTATTTCCCTAATATAGAACATCTTTTCATGTTTTGTTTTGTTTTGTTACCATTCATATAGCGTCTTTAAAGAAATGTGTATTCATATACCTTGCCCATTTTTTAATTGGAATACTTGTGTTTTTCACCATTGAGTTTTTAAAGAGTTATTTATATGATCTGGATAAAAATCTCTTATCATATATGATTTCAAATATTTTTACCTATTTTGTGTGTGTACACACACACACACACACACACACACACACACACACTCTTTAACCAATTTTAGTTGTTCAGCCTTTAGAAATCATTACTGACTGAAAGATCACAAGAATGTTTACATATATTTTCTTCTAAGAGTTTTACAGTTTTAGCTCTTATATTTAAGTGTTTGAGCCATATATGTTGTTAGGTAGGGATTCAACTTTATCATTTTGCATATAGATAATATCTGGTTGTTTAGTTCCTTTTTTCCCATGGAAGAAAGTGTCTCTTCAGTAATCTTTTGCCACCTAAAGGGTTACATGAAAAATAGAGTAGAATTAAAGAGTTGAGTACCCCAAATAAATCTGTATAGTCTCAAACCCTGAACTAGAAATACCAAAGTTGACAGGGTTCATTGTATTTTCTTGGTATATTCACTCTTCTGCCTGTAGATTCAATTTTAGCTTGACTGACTTCTAAGTATCTAGTAGCATTTGCATAAAGACTTGAAAGAAGATTGCAAGCTGATTCTTAGTCTTTCATTTTCACAACTGAGTCATCTAACCTTAAGGACATAAAAAGACTTGCACAATAAGCCTCATTCATACATAGAAATGGAAGAGAGGCGATGGCTTACTGCCACCTCAAGAAGCTGAAAATTGGCCTAAGAATATGATTTGAGCTATAGTAGAATGGCGAAGGCTTTCACAGTATACTTTATCACCTTGTAAGGAAGCACTGGATCTTATTAAAATATCACCCACTGCTACTTTAGCCACATAGAAATGTGTTCCATTAATGATAACTCTGACATTTATTTATTTCAGGGAAGTGGTTAAAAATACAGAACTCTTCACAATGTTAATTGAATTTTAGTTTTGAATCATGAGTTTACTACAAGTCATATAAGAATAGTAGCATCTGTAAGACCCTTGTAGTAAACCTGTTCACATGTGTTGTCTGAATTAATTTATATGAAACCCATGAGGAGAGAAAGCCAGTATGATCATTCCCATTTTCTAGAGAGAAACATTTGTTCATTTTAATTGTAAACTATTTCTCATCAATTGAAAAATATTGGTAATAAAGTGTGGACTAGATACCCTTGCCAGATTTATCATTTCATCATATTTACTTAAGATTTTTTTTTTAAAAAGAAATACATTTAGTGCGGATCAATTGAAATCTTGTTATTCTGTTTCCAGATTCCCATTCACTTTTCTCCCTCCCCAGAGAAATCATTTGGTGTCTTATCATTTTCTGGCAAACTTTTTATCAATCTTAAAAATATTTTCACTACATACATATATATTCTTAAACAATGCATAGTTTTGTCATATGTTTTTAACTTGTACTTTTTATAATCTTGCAGTTTGCTTTTTCAGTTCAACATTGTACTTTAGAGACCCATCCATGTTAATACATGTTTTCCTTCTAACTAATGTATAATTACAAATTATAAATTATAAATATGTAAGTAAATTACATATTTACTTCTAACTAATGTATAATTCTGTTGGATGCGTAGAACACTATTTGTCTATTCTCCTCTTGATAGACATTTAGGTTCCTTTCAAGTGCCACTATTTCCATACAAAGAATGCAGTAACAAATGTTTTTGTTTATGTCTCTAGAACAATTGGATAAAAACTAAACCTAAAAATGGGAAATCTGGGTTCAAAGACATGGATCGCATCAATTTTATTGCCCTCCAAAATGTTCATACTAATTTCACTCCTACTATTTTCTAACAGCTGAATTTTCCCCACCTTCACAAAACAGTTTATTTTAGATTCTTTTGTTTTTAACAATCTGACATTTATAAAATTATATCTCATATGTGGTTTATAAGTTGAATTTTCTGATTACCAGTGAAATTGAATATATTTTCATTTTTTTTTTACTGGTTATCATAACCCATTCTAATGTCTAGCAAATTATCACACATTGGCATAGAAGGAACAAAATTTCATTTCTCATGGTTCCGGAGGCTGGGAAATTCTAGAACAAGGTGCTAACAGATTTGGAGACTGGTGAGGCCCCTTTTTGCTTCTTAGATAGCTGTATCTTCACGTGGTAGAAGAAACAAAGGATCTCTTTTCTTGGGCCTCTTTTATGAGGCACTCATGCCTCATAAAAACTCTTAAGGACTATGTCCTCATGACCTAATCACCTCCCAAAGTCCCCGCCCCTAATACCATCATATCTCAACATATTCACTTTGGACAACCATAAATGTGTAGGCTGGAGCTTTGGCTATTTCCTGCTACACGAATACATTTTTATATCAATGTTTCACATTTCTATTTCCTTAGATGGGATTATTTGCCTACCCCTTGACTTGGACTGGACCAAGTGACGTGTTTTGGGCAATGCAGAGGAATCCAAGTGATAAGAATAAAAGTTAAAAGAATACTTGCAAGATTGGGCTTATATTCTTTTGCCTTAGTCATCACTCAGAGAAGAGCATGTACAGGCTAATCTGGTGATTCAAGGAAAATGGAGCAGAGCTGTCCATGTGAGTTTAGCCAAGATTGTTCAACTCTGTCCAACCTAAAGATACATGAGCAAGTTCAGCTAAATCCAAAATCATCCAGTTGACCCATAGATTGGTAAGAAATAGTTACTTACTATTATGGTCAACTAAATTTTAGGGCTATTTGTTAAAAAGCAGAGCTTCCTGATATATTGCCTTAAAACTAAAACTGAGTTGGATAAGTATTTGTAATAAGCACAAGTTGTTTTATGGATAAAAGAGCATTCCTACTTCCCTTTTTCTGTCCATTCTAATCATGCAATTGAGGTAGGACATCTAATCTCAAACTCTTGACCCTTGACATTAGGTATTGGCACAAGAACACGTTGGTCCTGTAATAGTCTCTGTTTCATATGGACCACAGTTATTTGCCTAGGGTTGGTGGATGACTAATGAGGTGAGGCTGATAATAATCCTTCCAGGAAATGTTCTCATTGAAGCTGGAGAAGGAATGTTTCCTTTTTCTTGGTTGGATTTGGTATTGTACATGATCCTGGAAAAACTGGTGGTCACATATCCCACTGACAGATAACCTAGAGAAATTAAACCACCACACAGAGAGATGCAGTGTCCTGAGGGTGTTCTAACCTATGGGGCTCACTAACCTTGGTCTCCTTGAGGTGTAATTGTTTGGTTCTTCATTCAGTCCTATGAGCCTCTCCCAGTATCCTTCCAACAAATCCTTGATTATGCAGATGAAAAATCAAGTTGAATTGCTGTCATAGTCAATACAAAGATATCCAACCAATGCATTAATTTAAATATATGATAAAAAATAACCCTGATCAATCAGATCAGTCATTAGACCATGCTAGGATACTCTTAGCAATCCTTCTACAGAATTTCATGTTTTGCAACTTTTATCAGGTTTTTGATTCTCTACTCTTCATGATTTTAAAAAAATATTTGAAACACTACACATCATGATGAGCTCTTAAGGAATTTGCAAGAGAATGAAACTAGGAACTGATTATGACCCAGGGCAACATTGATATTTGAGGGTAAAAACTTCACTCTAATGGTTGAGAGTTCAGGTCTGTCTGGGGTCACATTCTGGCTCTGTCCCTTAGAAGCTCTACCTCAGGATAGTTGTGTGACCTTGTGGAAGCATGTTTTCCTCAATAGAAAATGAAGACAAGGCTAATAGTACTTTCACTATGAAGTAAGATTATTACATGAGATGTTAAATGTGAAACCCGTGTATGTGTATGGCTGATCCAGAAGGGCTTTGTTGGAGTTAGCTACTATTAACAAATATTAGTAGTAGAATGTAATTATTCTAGGTACTCCTTGATTCTAGGATATCATGTTCTAGTCTTATTTCCAGTGATAGCCTTCAGAAAAACAATATGCAGAAATCATTTTACTTGAGACTGATTATTTAAATAAAATGTCTGTCCCAGCCAATGGTATGGGAAAGAAAGTGATAAGAATAAAGGTTTAAAGAATACTTGCATGATAAAGGAAAAATGTGTTATTATACTTATGCCCATTTATAAGAACACAAACTAACTTGTTCCTTTCTGAAGTTAGGATCAGGACATGTCACTATGCAGAGGACTGTAACTCCTTTCTTACCAGAATAAGAAATGTATAGGAGTCCTAGAAAATTCAGAGCTCGGCTTAATTGTCAACATTAGCAAATGCCGGATTTCTTAAGTGCCAATTATGCATCTGCTTCTTTTAATCAATTGTGGGTCTTCTTTCCTTTCTCTCTTCTTAAAATGGATGATAGATAGATAGTCAATAGGTAAGTAGATAGAGAAATAAAAGAACCCAAACACAGGCTGAACTCATATATAAAGTTATTAATAAGTTTTCTACTAGTTCAGATTATAGACACCAGTGCAGATGGATGAGTATATTATGGTACACTTGAGGCCTATGGCAAATTCCAATGTAAAGCACAATCTATTTCTTCTTTGACTCCGAATCATAATCAGCTTGCTTTGTGACTTGGATTACCTGCCGCAAGCTAAAGTCCATTGCTGTCTACAGCCCAATGTTCCTCCTGGCTGAGGCTCCTTCACCCTGCCTCATGCCGGAACTCATTAGCTTGGCCAATTCTCTTACATCACTTTGCCGCAGAGTCAGCAGAGGCTCGCATGGCTTCACCTCTGTGTTCCAACCTAATTCCTTGCAAAACTGCTTACCACGGATACCTAAGATATTAAGAGATGACACGAAGTCAGAGCAAATTTCTAACAAACCAGTGTCGAGGTTGGGCTAATGCTCTTTCCCCTAACTGATGTGTTTCTATATCATGCTCATTTTAGACTTTCTAAAGATGCACTTAAAAGCTCAACTATTTCTTCTTAGAAACGCTTTCAAGGTCACTGCTTATTTTTTTTCTACAGGCAGGAAGGTGTGGTAAATCATCCATAAGTTCTGCTTATTGGGGGACAGCGGAAATTTATGGCTATTTTCAGCTGACCTAAAAGACAAAAAAAAACCTCACGCTCTCCCAAAGTCCCAGTTTCCCTTCCCCGTTGCTGTTCTTTCCCTGGGGCCTGCTCCACAAAGCTTCAACCCTGAATCAAACTTAGGATCCGGCTTCTCAGTACCCTCCCCAAGGCTGCATGTGTAGCTGGAAGATCTCACAACTGGCTTGCTGGGAGACCCACTTGGGACTTTCTGTTCTTGTTTCCTGTCCTACTTGCAACCACTTCACCAAAAAAACCACTTTGCAGAAACATCCAGCCAAGTGGCCCAGGGGAAAAGAATTTCTGCACATTTCCATTTCCACCTTCCGTCTTTCTCCAGCCTGGGAGAAGAGGCTGCACACAACGTCATCCCTCCTCTAAGGCCCCGAACCCCAGCCCTTTCTTTTTCCTTTGTTACCCTCTGCTCTTACGTCTTCTGTAACACACCACCCCGCAACACACACACAGCTTGAGCTCTTGTCTGTCAACCTGTGAGAGTGGGAGTCTCCTCCAATGTTTTTAAAACCACTTCTTTAGAAATCAACATGGTTCTGTCCTTCCAGTCACAGACAGTCAATGTGACAAACGGTAGTCAGCCCTGTTTCTCTATTTTCTCACGGCTGTTTTCATTTTAACACTTTGAAAATCTTCTTTGCCAATCAAGTCCTTGGAAATTGCTCTTACCGCAATCTCCAAGGATGACTAAATAGAACGGATACTTTGTTAAGTTCAATCCATTGATCACACTGCAGCGTTTCATCTATTAACAATTATTTTTTTAGTCCTTGTTATCGGCTACATAGAAATATAAATCAGAAGAGGAGGTTTGAGGGTAACAAGGTAAGAATGAAGGCAGGAACTCCAATCTTAAGTGGTAGGAGAAGGTGACATTTATGCAAAGTCCTAAAGGACATGGGGGTACAAGGCATAGTGATATACGAGAAAAGAAAGTTCAAAGCAGAGGAACAACAAGTGCAAAGGCCCTGAGGCAGGAACATGCTTGGCACTTTCAAGCTACAGGAGGAAGCCCATGCTGCTTCAGCAGAGGGAATGCTGAGGCGAGGAGGAGAGGAGATCAGGGAGGGGACAGCTTTGGGAAGGGCAAGTCACATAAAGCCACATGTGCCATCTGGAGAGCTTCATTTTACTTCCAGTGAGCCAGAAAGGGAATGGATGTTTTTGAGCAGAGAAGTGACAATCTATTCTGCATTTTAGCACAATGTTCTGGTTAACAAGGAACAGAGGCTGTAGAGAAGGGTGAGCTCCATTAGGATTCAGGCCAGAGAGGATGGCAGCACAGATCAGAGGAACAGCAGTAGATGTGGTGAGGTGGCTGAATTTTAGGGTGGTAACCACACTTTGCTCCCTTCTCCTCTTCCTTCTCCTCCTCCTTCTGGGGTGGGAGGTACTGGGGATTGAACCTAAGCCACAGCCCCCTTTCCCCTTTGCTTTTGCAATGTTATAGTCACTTTGCTTGCAGCTGCTGAATTTGTCAGGTCAGGTCTGATGGACGATGATAATGACACTCTCTTTATACAAGGTCGTATTTATTTTAGTAATAATATGAAAGCAAAGGCAAAAGTGAAAGGTGAGAGAGAAAGAGAAGAAAGTGCGTCACCAGATCGTGAAACACGGACACCTGAAATGGTGCAGAAGGGAGGTTCCCAGGCAAAGACTCCACGGGTGAGACGCCAGAGTCTTATTCCCAGTGAGGCTCCTGAAATGTAAGTTGGAATAAAGGAAACTACATTCCAGCAACCTATGTGACCCAGAGACCCCTCAAGGACTCTTTATGCCCCCCAAGCACTGGCTTTGAGACAAGTGAGTATCTCTGAGTCCTTGTGAGTGAGTCAAACCCACCCACAAGTCAGCCTTCTTTAGATGTTCCTTCACGGGTGTGCAGAGGTCATGGCAGGTACAGAGGGAAGATCTTGAACATGTTCCTTAGCCCTTGAGCTTTCAGGAGTCAAACATCTCCCAATTTTCCTGCCACTTCTCTGACCTCCGCTTTTCAGTCCCTTTTGCAGACTCCTCTTCTTCCAGACCCTCTGGCACTTGCAGGTCACGCTCATCCTGGTCTCCACGTTCATGGCTCAGCCCCACCACCCCCCCATGCACATCTCTCTCTCCCCAACTTCTGACCTGCACGAACCGCAGGCCAACTCCATTGGACCCTTCCGCATGTTCCAAAGTGGGTTTTGATCATTCTACACCTTCAAACAAGGCTTATCAAAAGCCTTCCAATCAAGAAAAGCCCAGGACCACAGGAATTCTCAGCCGAGTTCTACAAGACCTACAAAGAAGAATTGATACCAATACTCCTCAAATTATCCCATGAAACAGAAAAGGAGGGAACCCTTCCAAACTCATTTTAGGAGGCTAGTTGTCACCTGGATACCTAAGCCAGACAAAGACACATCAAGAGAAGAAAACTTCAACCCTGATGAACTTAGATGCAAAAATTCTCAATGAAATTCTGGCAAATCACATACAAATCGCATGTTAAAATGATAGCGCACCGTGATCAAGCGAGGTTCATCGCAGGGATGCAAGTTTGGTTCAACATACGGAAATCAGTAAATGTAATTCATTGCATCAATAGACTCAAAGATAAAAATCTCATGATCATCTCAATAGATGCAGAAAAAGCATTTGATAAAATACAACGACTTTTCATCTTCAGAACACTAGACAAACTAACCTTCAACGTTGTAAAAGTTGTCTATGCTAAGCCCAAGGACAACATTTTCCAAATTGGAGAAAAATTGGAGGCATTCCCTTTAAGAACTGGAACAAGGCAGGGATGCTCTCTATCACCACTCCTATTCAAAATAGTCCTTGAAACTCTAGTCCGAGCAATTAGACAGATAAAAGAAATTAAAGGGATACAAATAGGAAAAGAAGAACTCAGACTGTCACTATTTGCCGATGACATGATTCTATACTTAGAGGATCCAAAAAACTCCCCAGAAAACTTCTAGAATTAATAAATGAATTCAGTAAAGTAGCAAGGTATAAAATCAATGCCCATGAATCAAGTGCATTTCTCTACATCAGTGATGAACCTTCACGATGGCAAGAAAGGATTTTCTACTGCCCAGAATATTATGGAATGGGGAATTTTTATGTGCCCTAGAGCAAGGCAAAATGCAGCACAGCACTTCAGGAAGTTGGGGGTCACCTTAAACACCTTAAATTGACTGAATTTTGTTGCAACCCAATGGCCTTTTTTCATAAAAATCCATCTCAATTCAATATCAGTCTGTTTTTCATTGCTGAAATAAAATACCTGA